GACACAGCTGTAACGGATCACCTGGCACCCTGACTGGGTATCTCCATTATTGGATGCGCCTAGCGCTTCCTGAGGGCCCCAAGAACTCCACCCGACACCATAACCACCGTAGACTCCTTCCGAGAGCAAGACAGGAACAAGCTCTTACTAGAGCTTAGAAGTTATTATCCAAGGGAGCATGCAGAGCATAGCAATCCCTTGCAGTGATATAGCAATACCCCCAATAAGAGACAGGACTCTAGATTGAGGGTGAAGAAGAACTGTCTGTACTGGCACATACAGCCTCTTTTATTCACATTCTACATAGTACTGCCCACATGGTTTTGAAGCACAACCAATCAACACATTATAACACAGTTAACACTCCCATTCATTACATCACAAATCCTCCCCTCTGCCTGTGATACAATTATCTCAACACAATAGACTAACTTGATTATCACAGGCAGGAAAATACAGTATTATAAAACATATCACAGGGACCCCAAAACATGCAATAACCCCATAAAAAAATATATCCTCGGAACCGGGGGATCTGGGTGAACCACATATCCAAAATTCAGATCCGTTCAGTAGTTTGGAAGATACGGTTTAATGCAGATTCCGCAGAACAAATACAGGCTATATGAAAAATAATTACTGTTAAATGTGTCCCCTGTTCTGTAGTTTAAAACTACTGAACGATTTCTTTGTGCACCAAATACTGGGGAGATGGCACTGTGTAGAAAAGTCAAAACAGTGTCTGTGAGTTAAAATGGTCGCCATCCATTGTTCTCACCATGTGCTTCATCCATTGTTCTCACCATGTGCCTCTGATACATGAAATGGTGGTTACCCAGTAACTCCACAGTATGTCCCCAGATGGTTCTTAAAGGGCCAGCAGCAGCATAATAAAATACAATATGCCCAAATCCGTTCCTTAAAGGGCAATACATCAATAGGCGTGTGCAGCCTATTGCATTATGGTGTGCACCCTAAAGCACAAGCACACGCCGCATATATATATATTTATATATATATATATATGTGTATATGTGTGTATATATATATATATATATATATATATATACACATATATACATACATACACATATATACACACAATGTGTGTGCTGTGTGAGGGTGCTGTTAGTGTGATGTGTGTGTGACGGTGCTGGTAGTGTGCTATGTGGGTGAGGGTGTTTGTGTGTGCGCGCTTGTCAGGATGCTGTTAATGTACTGTGTGTGAGGGTGCTGTTTGTGTGTGTGTGTGCGCTTGTGAGGGTGCTGTTAATGTACTGTGTGTGAGGGTGCTGTTTGTGTGTGAGGGTACTGGTAGTGTGCTGTGTGTGTGTGTTTGTTAGGGTCCTGTTTGTGAGGGTACTGTTAGTGTGCTGTATGTGTTTGTGAGGGTGCTGTATGTGTGTGTGGGTGCTGTATGTGTGTTGGTGCTGTGTATGTCTGTGGGTGCTGTGGGTGCTGTGTATGTCTGTGGATGCTGTGTATGTGTGTGGGTGCTGAATGTGTGTGGGTGCTGAATGTGTGTGGGTGCTGAATGTGTGTGGGTGCTGTATGTGTGTGGGTGCTGTGTATGTCTGTGGGTGCTGTATGTGTATGGGTGCTGTGTATGTCTGTGGGTGCTGTGTATGTGTGTGGGTGCTGCATGTCTGTGGGTGATTGTGGGGGTACATTACTTGCTATCCCCCCTCCCTTTTTACCTTTTGTAGGGAGGGGAGATCGTGCTGTTGATTCCATCCCTGGTGGTCCAGTGGAGAGTGAACTCTAGCCCCTGTGGCAACGCTCATATCTCGCGAGAGGAACCCGGCAGAGCTGTCGGCAATAGCTCGGCCAGTCCTCTCCTGCCTCCCTCCCTGCATGTGGGTCAGTGGGGAGGGAGGCTGAGAGCAGAGCCGGCGCTCGGATGAATAGGCCCCATGTCTTCAAGTGTCCCCTATTTTCCCAGTGTCCCCATGTGTCCCAGCCAGTGTCCCCTAGTCTCCCAGTGTCACTGGTGTCTCTGTGTCCCCAGGTCTCCCCGTGTCCCCAGGTCTCCCCGTCTTCCTAGTGTCCTAGTGACACATACATGGGGACATAGACACATGGGAATACTGTAGGACACAGGGAGACATGGGGCATTGTGACACTGTGATACATAGGGACACTGTGATACATAGGGTCACTGGGAGACATGGGGCACTGAGAGACTGATACATAGGAACACTGAGACCTGGAGTAATCGACACATGGGGGCACTGGGAGGAATCCATATATACAGCAGAATCAAACTAAGTAGTTTTTTGGTGATTTTACAGCATTTTCTCTTATGTCACTCCTTGTGATTTACATCATGTGATGTCACCCATACATATTTAATTATGCAAATTAGTAAGGCCGGTATGTTTTTCCAAGAAAGGTGGCAACCCTAACTACTTTTCACATACTCTTAAGTATGGAAACTTAAGATGGATGTATGGGAACAAAACTTGTGTGGACTGGCTGACAATGAATATAGTTAAAGGGACACTATAGTCACAAGAACAACTACAGCTTATTGAATTTGTTCTGTTAGTGGAATCCTTACCGTCAGGCTTTTTGCTGTAAACACTGTCTTTTCAGAGAAAATTCAGTCTTTACATTACAGCCTAGTGATAACTTCACTGGCCACTCTTTAGATGGCTGTTGGAGATCCTTCCTGGGTCATTGCTGTCTAAAATGCATCCAAACATTCAGTATCTCCTCCCTCTGCATGCAGACACTGAACTTTCCTCATAGTGATTAATTGATTCAATTCATCTCTATGAGGAGACGCTGATTGGCCAGGGCTGTGTTTGAATCATGCTGGCTCTGCCCCTGATCTGCCTTTTGGTCATTCTCAGCCAGTCCTATGGGGAAGCACTGTAATTGGATCAGGCCACCACTTCTAATGATGTCAACAGACTGCTTGTTTTTCTGAGTCTAACAGCATGCAGAGTTACAGCTTCAGGCTTGAATACAGTAAGATTTTTACTATATTTATGGAGGCATGAGGGGCCCAGGGGGGTTAGATGGTGGTGTTAACACTATAGGGTCAGGAATTCATGTTTGTGTTCCTGACCCTATAGCAATCCTTTAAGGTAAAGCTGACTTTGGTCTCTCTAACACTGTGGCATGTTCCCTTTTTTCTACACTCACTACACACAGCTTTTCTCTGTCCCAGACTATATACCAGGAGCGTCTGCCTGCTAGTAAGAAGGTAAAGAGACAAGTGGACCAGCGAGTGCTAGGGGAAAGTCCTTAGAAAGCATTGAGCGAGCGCATCATTAGATGCATTTATGCCAAGCTCAGGGTGCTGTCTGCATAGTATGCCCTTAGTTGGCCAGCTGCATGATTGGCAGGCAGTCTGACATGCATTCATGCCAGGCTGGCCTTCTAATTCTTGAGTAACTGTAATTCCATCATCTCCTACGTTATCTTTACCTCACATTAAGCACTTCTGTACACCTGCATCTATTTGGGTGGTTTCATTATCTCCTTCATAGGTCTCAGATTGAAACTGTGCACAAGTGTGTTCTATTTCTGTATCCTGCCTCTCAGGACCTATTCTCCAGCTTCACTCTTCCTATACTTTGGGCAGACATGTCCTCTTTTTGGGCATGTTCGCCCCTTTTGGCAGGTCACGTGATTTGTGTCAGTGGCACACCCTTTTACCATGCCCATTGACCTCCTGCTTGATTGGACACTGCTGTTAGGGGTTATGGATTTACTTTAAAGATAAAAACATAAATTAGAGGGAGATTAGCATAGGGTATGTGTTTTCTTATAGCTGCTGTTTTCTTTCTCTCCAACACCATCTCCATCAGATACATGACACTTGGGAGTGTTTTAGTGTTTTTGGTCGATATGATTCTGTAATTAGGCTCATCATAATTGTCAGCACCAGGCCCACTGGACTGTTAATCTGGCCCTGGGGAGGGCAGGGAGTGAAGGGGTTACATGGGGGGAGGGGGCAGGGAGTGAAGGGGTTACATGGAGGGAGGGCAAGGAGTGAAGGGGTTACATGGGGGGAGGGGGATGTCTGGGGGCTGTGTCCTACCTTCATTGAATTCCCCGGTGGTCCAGTGTCTCCCTGGTGGTCCGGTGGGTTACTTTCCTGAATGCAGCGCCGATTTCCCTATGCGTGGGTCAGGCTTCACCCATGCTCCTCCCCCGCTGACGTAAGCCGGCGGTAGAGACCTAATCCGCATGCACGCAATGGCCGCACGCGCATTAGACCTCCCCATAGGAAATGCATTGGAAATGTGTTTAATTTCTAAAAGTTTTTCAGTAGTTCAAAAAAAATGTTGAGAACCACTGAGTTAGGTAATGCTAGCGTGATGCATCTGGTCATCATTTTTCAGTTCCTGTGCTAGCAAGCAGAGTGTAGATAACTTTTTCTGGGTTATGTTTTGCAAAGGATTGCCACCTGATGGATGCTAAATTTGTCTTTATTTTATAATGAGTGTCATCTCTTCATTTACTGTAACATGATATTCAGAATATTTGATTACAATGATTTCCGGGATATTCACAGCTTTCCTATGACAGCAGTCTTTTTCACCAACGCCTTTGCAAAGCTTATGCCTATCAAGTGATGGCGAGATGG